GAATGGAATCTTTAAGTTTGTTTGCGAAAAAGAATTTATCGAGTCGGGAATCCAGAAAGGTTTTTGGCCTGGAATTTCGGGGACTATTGAACATACGGAATTATTATTACATATTACTAACCATGCCAGAAATAAGCAAAGATCTCTTAATCTGAAAAATGGGTAAGGTGGGGTACATCATAAACTTATACGAACTATCTTGATGGCTCATCACATTCCTGAAGAAATTATATGCTTTGTTGAGAATCTCTACTCTGATTTCAGTATCTCAATTATTACGAAAGGGTTCATTACGAAACCAATTCCAGTGCAACGAGGCGTGTTACAAGGTGATTGTTTATCACCCTTGTTATTTAATCTTTGTGTAAATTCTTTGATTCGCACAATAAACGACGCGAAATTAAAATGTCTCGGCTATGTAAATAACGCAACGATGTACCCTAAGCACTGGTTCCAATTTGCGGATGACACAGCAATATTAAGTGCACATGAAGAGGACAATCAATTGCTTTGTAATGTTTTTAATAAATGGTCAACGTGGTCGGATTTGCATATTCGTGTTGAGAAATGTCATACTTTTGGAATCAAGAAGCAATCCTCAAAAGCAATTCAATACCAACCAGTTATTATTATCTCGGGCAAGCGTGTACCGCCGATTGAATGCGAACAGGGGTTTAACTATCTCGGAAAGCAATTTAACTTTAATATGGAATGCGAACAGATCAAAGTAGAGATACTAAGTGAAATCGACGAATATCTGCAGAAAATAGATCTTTTCCCCATGAATCCTTTTTCGAAAATCAGGATCATTCAGAATTATGTTTACTCAAAGCTCCGTTGGCGATTTTCTATATACCCCTTTACCGAGACCTGGATAAAGCAAAATATTGAGCCAGCTATTTCCAAGTATATTCGAAAATGGTTACAGATCTCGATTAGTGGCAATATCACTCATCTAAAACTGCCAAAATCATATCTAGGGATTGACTTTTGCTCTGCTTCAGATATATATTTACAATGCAAACTTTCGGTTAGGCGCATATTGAAAACATCTAGGAACAGTGATATTCAACATCTGTATTCTGTAACATCTTCCAAAAATATTAATACGGATGAAATAATTGAGAAAGTATCATCAAATGTAACAAATGGATACGAACTGAAAACCGGAACAAATAAGTTATTGAAACAGCAAAGTACAAATGATATTTGGGCAAATTTTATTACGCTAAAGGAACAAAGTATTATTATAAAATATCTAACTGAAGCGTGCAACAAGAAAATACTGCAATTTTGGCAAGAAATGGTTAGCAGACTACCCCGTAATATAACTTGTTTTGCAAGACGGGCTCTAGTGCTTAATTTGAGCAACAATTCCAACCTCAAGCGGTGGAACATTCGAGATTCTCCAAATTGTGACCTTTGCAACAAAATTCAAACACAGCTTCATGTTCTTTCATATTGCCCTGTAGCGTTACAACAACATCGATATACGTGGAGGCATGATTCTATATTAAACATCATTCTTCATCACTTAAGGAGAGTGATGTCGGAAGACCTGGAGATTTTTGCCGATTGTCCAGACTCTGGCTTGAAATGTACGTCCAATCTGTTTCAAGCGTTAAGGCCAGATATTACGATTCGTTATAAAAGAGACTTGTATGTGATTGAATTGACTGTCCCATATGAAACGAATTGTATGATTGCAAGACGACGTAAACAAGAAAAATATCGGGTATTGCGATCACAGTTACTCGTACCGTGTGATAGATTTAAAGTTATAACTTTGGAAGTCACTGCTCTAGGCTTCGTCACGAAGAGTATAGGCCAATTTCGTAGGCTATGTAGGTTGTTACATTTGCAAGACGATCGTATCATAACAAAATGTATGGAGGTTGCACTTCGTGCCACTTTCTACATATTTTGTAAGAGAAATAAGAACTGGTCTTGCCTTGAAAAGCTCAACTTCTATTAGCTACTAATGTGTGACAGTGTAGATAACGGACCTGCTTTATTCAGAGAACTGTTGTCTTATTTATTAAGTGTAGTTAGGTAAAATTTGGTCTGGACTCATAAATGTATGACTATATGGGTCAGGCTATGTAATTGATTTGTAACGGTTTAAAAAAAATTATTATTATTATTATTATTATTATTATTATTATTATTATTATTATTATTATTATTGGAGAGTCGTTTCGATACTTGGGGAAATATTTTGACTTCAGTATGTCCGAAAAAGAACACAAACAAGAGCAAATCACTCTCATGGACGACATTATGTCTGAAATTGATCTCAACCTTTGCACCCGAAAAATAAACTTTTGCTTTATAGCCGTTACCTCCTATCCAAACTTTCCTGGCATTTTACTGTAACCACCTTATCAAAAACCTGGGTCTCTGAAAATATGGATTCTGTGGTGAAAAAGTACGTACGTAAATGGCTGGAAATACCTATATCAGGAACTTTATCTAACGTCTACCTTACCAGTAACAAGTTTGGTCAAAATATCTACCCGCCGTCAATCAAGTTTGTTCAGTGCCAAACAGTTGCTCGTAACGCCTTAAAGACCTCTCCAAATCATTCCATAAAAGATCTCTGGAAAACAACATCTGGAAATAAAAACATTCAGTACGACGTTTACACATCGACAAAGGAAGTTCTTAAAAGTTTTACCTCCGGGCAAGAAGACAAACTGCAGAATCATCTGATTTTGCAAGGCTCCTTCTTTTCAAATGTCATTAACTTTTCGCTGTCGAAATTAAATGGCATATGGTCTAAATCCCAATCAAACCTCCCAAAGAACATCTATAATTTCACCATCCGTTACATCAATAACTCGCTTCCAACTCGTAAAAACCTTACTAAATGGGGAATATTGTCCAACTCTGATTGCTCCTTCGGCTTAAACCCTGAAACCCTTTTACACGTAGTCGCTGGATGTCAAGCGTACCTCCCGCGATTACATGGAGACATGATTCTGTCCTGAGCTTCATCGCACAAACCCTACAACCTGTAAACAACTCCAATCTTTTCGTCGATCTTCCTGGTTACAAGAGCCCATCAATTGTAACTGGTGACACATTCCGCCCAGACCTACTTCTATCTATCAACTCGGATTGTCTCTATATCTTTGAACTTTCTGTTGGTTATGAGTCTAATCTCCAAACAAATGTTGATTGGAAAAGCAGAAGATACAAAGATCTCATTACACAGTAAAAGAAACAATTTAACTCTGTAAAATAATTTGTCAATCAGTTCTTTAGGTGTTTTCTCAAAAGAATGTCATTCCTTTTTAAATATGTTGAGTGATCTAGGTCTTGATAAAAGACACCAATCAGGAAAATTATGTCTATCGCGATTAGGACAACATATTATATATGTTGTTGCAGAGATAAGGACTGGTCAAATCCGGAATTACTGAACATTTAAGGATACTCATTATTAATATATATATATATATATATATATATATATATATATATATATATATATATATATATATATATATATATATATATATATATATATTAAGATGAAAATGTTCTAAAGTGTGTATTATATAATTTCCATACCCAGCGCAAGCAGAAAGATGTTGTCTGCCGCGGCTGGGTCTCGAACCCGCAACCTTCGAATTACTAGATCGACGCTCTACCTACTGAGCTACACGGTCAGACGGATTTAAGACTGGAAATTATGAAATATATACTGAATGTCATAAACATACTCGTTTATATTAATTCAGCATCGAACAATACTAGTTCTGCAAGTGTTATGATAGTTGTGTAATTGTACACTCTGTAATATGTTAAGATGAAAATGTTCTATAATAATAATAATAATAATTTATTCATTTAAATAAAGCGCATATGTTATATTATATACTCGAAGCGCTGTACATTATAAAAATCTAAATATATTAAGAATTAAATATGCTATATAAAACATGGTATTGTATACAATTACAATATACACTAATGTATGTATCTATAATAAGAATGAAGAATCCAATATGGTCTCAACCTATAAAGGGTTATAAGCCTTATTGAAAAGAAATGTTTTCAAGCGTTTCTTAAACACAGAAATGTTTTCACAGTTCCTGACATCCAGAGGCAGAGAATTCCATAATTGTGGAGCAGCATGTGCGAAAGCCCGATCTCCTAGAGTCTTACAGTTTGTTTTCGGGATGTATAATAGACCTTGACCATCCGATCGTAATGTCCAGCGATCACTTGATTGTTTTGGTATAAGCATTTCAGAGATATAGATAGGGGCAATGTTATTAAGAGCCTTGTAAACCAGTAAAGCAATTTTGAATTCCACCCGGAATTTTACCGGTAGCCAGTGAAGTGATCTCAAAACTGGGGTGATGTGAGAAAATCTTGGACAGTGGTAGATTAGTCTAGCAGCGGCATTAAGAACTCTCTGCATTCGCTGGACTTGATACTGAGGTATGCCAGCCAACAAAGCATTACAATAGTCCACGTGTGATGTCACGAAAGCATGTATCAAAGTTTTCGTTGTATTAGTAGATAAAAATTTTCTAATTTGTCGTATTTTATAAAGTCCTCTGAATGCTTTACTGCACATCTTGCCTACATGAACTGACATTGACATATGCTTGTCAAACCAAGATCCCAAATTTCGAACACTGTCAACCGGCTTAATTTGGACCCCACCAACGTTAACAGATTCAATGTTTATTTTCAAAAGTTGTTGTGGTGTACCAATTACAAGAAATTCCGTTTTCGAATCTTTGAACATTAATTTATGAGACAACAGCCAAGTACGAACATCAGAAATACAATCTTCCAGTATGGCTAGGGTACTTTCTGAATTATCTTCACAATCTGGGTGAAAGGATACATAAAGTTGCGTGTCATCAGCATATCCATGAGAAGAGGGTAAGTGCCTGTCAATAATGTCATATAGTTGGGATACATAAATACATACCCCCTTGAGGCACTCCGTACTTAACATCGCAGTCTTGAGAAAAATTGTTATCCAGATCAACTCTCTGTTTCCTGTTCAATAGATATGATTTTATCCATTCAAGAGCCCTATCAGTCACTCCAAATTGATACTCCAATACGTCAATGATAGTTTTATGATCAATTGTATCGAACGCTGAGCTTAAGTCCAAGAGTACAAGAAAACGCACTTCCTGCCTGTCCATACTCAGAAGAATATCGCTTTGCACCTTTAGCAGAGCCGTCTCTGTCGAATGATATTTCCTGAAGCCAGATTGACAGATAGGGAGAGGTGCATGTTTTTCACAATGGTTCAGCAATTGGTTGGCGGCTGCCTTTTCAGTGATCTTAGAAAGAAATGACAGATTGCTCACAGGCCTAAAGTTCTCAAATACTGGGTCCAAACTAGACTTTTTCAGATTTGGTTTCAGCAGAGTAACTTTCCAGTGATCTGGGACACAACCCTCCTGCAAGGATAAATTTACAATTTTGGTGATAGAGGGAATTAGTTCCAGACAACAGATTTTAACAAGCCATGATGGGATCGGATCAAGCTTGCAGCTGGCACTGGACAATTGCATAATAACATCATGAATATCCTGGGAAGAAAGTATCTCAAAAGATTCTAATTTGACTTCAGGATTACGGTAATGCACCAACGGAGGATCGACATGGATACTGTCCACATTTTCTCTAATCAATTCAAATTTGCGGAAAAAATATTCGTTGAACCTATTTGCTAATTGACCAAGATCGTCAAGAGGTGGTAAGGGATCTTCATGCGGTGCATTACAAAGGGAGCTCACAATTCTGTAAATATTCTTTGGATCGTTGGAGCTATCACTGATAAGGGAAGTATAATAATCAGTTCGGGCTTTATTAAACAAGTAACAATATCGGTTACATATTTTCCGATAGGCAGTCCAATCTACTTCTAATTTTGTTTTCCGCATCTTTCTCTCTAGTTTCCTACGCTTTACTTTCAATTGTCTTAGTTCGTCATTGTACCAAGGAGTTGAACGCTTAACTTTCATTAGCTTTCTTCGGACAGGAGCATGGGTATTTAAAATACGTGAAAGTACGTCATCATAGCAATGCACTAATTCATCAAGATGTGCAATGTTTTGGCAATGTGAATTCACATTGCTTAGATCAATGTTAATCTTTTTCAGTTCACGATAAGAAATTAGCTTTTTGGAGTCATTCGGACGAGGAATAGATAATTTACATTCTACAAAACAATGATCGAACAGAAAGAAAGTACTCTCAATCGAAAGGATATTAATGTCACTTGTAGATCGACTTATCAATAGATCCAGTGTATGATTGGACGAATGTGTTGGAGTACAAACATGTTGTTTGAGGCCAAATGTTTCAAGCATCTCATTAAATTTTATCTTGTTTCTGTTAACCGTATCATCCAAGTGAAAATTAAAGTCCCCGGTAATCAATAGAATTTCTGGACATAGAACAATATGCTCCAAATAGTTTGAGAATTCTTCAAAGAAATTTCCAGGTAGAACAGGGTGAGCCGCGCAATAAGGTGGGCGATAGATAGCAATAAGTTTAATAGAATATTCAAGTATGGAAAAATTCCACTCTAAATATTCAAAGGATTGCGTTTCTCCACCACCAGAAAGAGAGACATATAAATTGGTGTTAAACGTTACGCCTGTGCCTCCTCCTGATCTGTTAGATTGACGGGAAAATGATTTAAATGAATATCCAGGACAAACGCCTGCAATACTTGTTGTGTCCATGTCCTTCAACCAAGTCTCAGTTACAACACAAACATCAATATTTTGATCAACAATATAGTCGGAGAATACAGCTACCTTATTTCTTAGTGATCTAGCGTTAATCGTTGCAAAACGTAACATATCTGGTTTTGGATTTGAGGCAAAATTTACACATACTAAGTTGTTGACATTAACTTTCCTTGCATGAGTTCTCGGCCTTGTCTTGGCACATAAATTATTTCGACGAACTGTAATACTAGTAGGAATTTTGCAAACAAGTTCAATAGACGGAACAGAATTCAAATTATTTTTATTACTTCGCTGCGTTATTATATTGATATTCTTTGGATAGTTAATATCAGCAGTATTGGGACTAATTACGCGTTCGTTAATTGACGGACAAGGACTAGGTGATTTAGCCATTCTGGGGATCGCTGGTGGGATCGAACAATCGAGGGGGGTGGCTTCCTGAAAAGGACGTTTGAAATCAACAGGAACTTGATGACTGTATTCTAGGGATTCGTTGAGACTGATTAGGGGTAAAAATTCTATGTCTTTAAGAACATTAAAAGTTGATGAACTGACGTTCCTCAAACTGCAGTGGTGACCATATAGTGTTGTGTAAAGGAGCGATTGCAGAATACCCGTCCACTTTCGAAGACCTCAGTTGTTATCATCATGAGATGAGATGAGATGAGATGATACGAAGTGAAAATGATTACGTAATAATTGTATACTCCCGCTATTATAAAAGCGTGGGTATAAGCTATATTTTTGCGTTATTGCCTGTCATGATAATAAGTGAGGTATTTAGAAGTAAAGGGCATTCTGCAATCGCTCTACTTATAGAATCGAACCGCCATTTTGAATTTTTGAGATTTTGAGCCCACAGGTCAACCCGCTGGCTGTCCTCGATTTCCGGCCATGAGGACCTCACCTTGAGCTGATCATCGAAAGAAACGTACCTCTGAAATTACTGGCAATACCAAGTTCAACAAGGAATAAATCAAGGGAAGTTAAGTACATTCAAAGAATTAAAAATAAATTTGCAATTTAAAAATATATTTCTGAAATTAGCAATGTTAAACATCGTCAAGCTGTTACAATTAAGGCTCAGAATTTCAGCTCATAGATTACCTTGTTTTGACATTGTCGATAGGCGCTAGATGTTCGCAATCTGTGAAGGTTCAAGGTTGCAAATCATAGATTACCTTTGAAACAGGTCGATATAGCAATGTTCCATACGATAAATGAATTTGTCAACATTGCGATTTAAATTATTAAGCGAGGTAGGAAACGAACAGGACTATTTAATGCGGTGAAATAACACAAGGTTTACTGATCTCAAAGCAGATTTTATCTACAAGTTTTCATACATGTCCAATACTGTCAACATGATACGGATCGTGAAGCAGCTTCACGATCCGTCAAATTCGTACGGACGGTAAACACGAGTCACGATCCGTATCAACTCGTAAACGCAATAGGTGGTCTCCAATAGCAGATGCTTGTTGCCCAGATCTACCAACAGTTCGACGGATCGTACCGTTCGTACGGCTCGTAACACGATTCACGATCCGACAAATCCGTACGGTCCGTACGAACTGTGAAATGGCTTTACGGACCGTACGAAGAGTACGGTTCGTGAAAATGATTTACAGATCGTGAACCTATAATAACTTCAAACATAATATGCTGTTTACAGTTTATCAAGTAATATGTTGTTGCTCCGTTCTTAAGAAACCACGCATATACTGTATCAATATAATGTTGTTTCTCCGTTCTTAAAAAAACACGCAAACAATATCAGTAATATATATTGAATTTTTTTCTGTGTTGGTGTAGTGTACTCAGGTGAATATGATATTTGTGGTGTTACCCTGAGTGTATATCCACACCGGGCAAGCTTGAAAAATATGCCCGGCCACGGTGGGATTCGAACCTACGACCTTTGAACTACTAGCCCAATGCTCTTCCAACTGAGCTACGCGGTCAGGACGGTTCGAGTAAGTGATATTTCGGAACAGAATCTAGTTCCTTCGATACCAATGTATTATACTCAGAGTAACACCACAAATATCATATTCACCTGAGTACAAGAAGGGTTTATTCCTTCCTTCTAACTCAAAGTGCCAGAACCAGTGTTTTTTTTAAGTCTTTTTTTCCGAGTTTTTTTCTAAGTCTTTTTTTTTTCAAGAATCTCGAAAAGAATTTTTTCAGAGTCTCGAAAAAAGAAAAAAGGTTTACCTTCAGGTTTTTTTCAAAGTCTTGAAAAAAAGTTTTTCTTTTTCCCTTTGAAAAAAGTCTGAGTTTTCTTTCTTTTAAAAGTTTTTTTCGAAGAGAAAAAGATATCGGGACCCAGAAAAAGTATCTAGGAAAAAAGAAAGGAAATCTCTTTTTCTGAGTTTTTTTCTAAGTCTTTTTTTTTCCGAGTTTTTTTCTAAGTCTTTTTTTTTTTCTAAGTCTTTTTTTTTCCAAGTCTTTTTTTTTTCCAAGTCTTTTTTTTTCTAAGTCTTTTTTTCCCAAGATCGTCCCCCAAGACTTTCCCAAGATTTTACAAAGATTTTCCCAAGATTTTACAAAGATTTGTCCCAAGACTTTTCCAAGATTTTTCAAAGATTTGTCCCCAAGATCATTCCCAAGATTTATCCCCGAGACTTTTCCCAAGATTTCCCAAAGATTCGTCCCCAAGACTTTTCCAAGATTTTCCCAAGACTTTCCCAAGATTTCCCAGAGATTCGTTCCTCAAGATTTTTCCAAGACTTTTTTTCCCAGGATCATCCCCAGGATTTTTACATCCCGCGAGATTTTTTTTTTTAAACCGTCAACACCTTATATAAATAAGGGGATACAAGAAAGGAAGACTATCCGGAACCTAAGACCTCTGTTACTAATCATTTTTCCTAACCCGTTCGGGGTTAGGAAAATTTTTTTCATTAAATAAATGAAAAGTAGTAACAGAGGAAATTCGGCCAGTCTTCCGTCAAGTCCCGGTCTGGTGATCGGAAGACGAAGCGAAACGGAATGTTTCGGAATGAACGAGCTGAATGACGAAAGGAGACAAATTTACATGGAGTGGAAGGTGGAACGCCTGAGGAATGCGATTGAAAAACAGCGTCGTAAAATGAGGGAAGAATGTACAAGGGAGCTTATTTTTACTTTATAGATACTGAAAGTGAATGACAGCGGCCCTGCCAATACGTGTAGGGATAAAAAAAAATTTTCATTAAATAAAAGAATGAATCCAGCAACAACGGTACTTTATTCCGCGATGAAATTAGTGAGCAGCAACGAAACGGAAATTCCGAACGTAAAATTAACGGAAAGAGAAGTCGACGTTTTATATGCGACGTGTGCCATCTGTGCATCGTCTGCATTATCCATCTTGTTATTCGTATGTACAAAGTTGATCAAGATGTGTCGCGAGAAGGAAAAGAAAAAAGACGAATTACAAGTTTATACACCGT